ACAGGATGGGTATGCGGTTCACTACCACCCACAGGATGGGTATGCGGTTCACTACCACCCACAGGATGGGCATGCGGTTCACTACCACCCACAGGATGGGCATGCGGTTCACTACCACCAACAGGATTGGTATGGGGTCCACTACCACCCACAGGATGGGCATGCGGTTCACTACCACCCACAGGATGGGCATGCGGTCCACTACCACCCACAGGATGGGTATGGGGTCCACTACCACCCACAGGATGGGTATGGGGACCACTACCACCCACAGGATGGGTATGGGGTCCACTACCACCCACAGGATGGGTATCGGGGTTCACTACCACCCACAGGATGGGCATGCGGTTCACTACCACCAACAGGATGGGTATGGGGTCCACTACCACCCACAGGATGGGTATCGGGGTCCACTACCACCCACAGGATGGGTATGGGGTCCACTACCACCCACAGGATGGGTATGGGGACCACTACCACCCACAGGATGGGTATGGGGACCACTACCACCCACAGGATGGGTATCGGGGTTCACTACCACCAACAGGATGGGCATGCGGTTCACTACCACCAACAGGATGGGCATGCGGTTCACTACCACCAACAGGATGGGCATGGGGACCACTACCACCCACAGGATGGGCATGCGGTTCACTACCACCCACAGGATGGGCATGCGGTTCACTACCACCCACAGGATGGGCATGCGGTTCACTACCACCAACAGGATGATGTAACAAAAGACAAGATCCACTGTTACCATGGTAACCTTTAACGATGTCACCAGAGTAACGACCACTGATGTCACTGTTGTAACAACTAGGGTAACACTGTAATGGTTGCTATATACTTGTAACCCCGAGACTGTATTTGATTTGTTGTTTAAGATTCGCTACCTGAAACAAAAAGTTCCAAGTAGCACGGGCTATGGCGAGCCCGCAGTAATCATTGTATGGTATGACCACAAAGAACTAGAAGAGTCCGCCTTCACAGGCGAAAATGCTCAAACCAGTTATCAGGGGGAAGGGGGAAGAGACATGATCAATATGTTAAAGATATCCATATAATTCTTTACAGTCTAGAGAGTAATAAGGTTCACTCGTTTAAAACAAATGCCGCCACCACTCCTTCCACTACCAATGGTCACATTCACTCCAAAAAAATCTACCAATCTACCACTATTTATGCCCGTGCCACCTCTTGGGTGGCTTAATCTTCCCCAATCAATCAATCACCACTCCTAGAACTTTAATGATTAGGGTAATTGACACTGGAGGAGACTAATCAACACCGAGGGCTAAGGGAATTAAACTCTTTCTTCTACTTACTGGGTGAATGGAATTCCTTCTATCTTGTCTTCATGATAATATATATATATATATATATATATATATATATATATATATATATATATATATATATATATATATATATATATATATATATTTATTAATAAATATATATATATATATATATATATATATATATATATATATATATATATATATATATATATATATATATATATATATATATATATATATATATATATATATATATATATATATATGTATATATATATGCTCATAAGCTCACAGGTGATGTCCAAATCAATTCAAGATCTATGTCTCAGAATTAATTAAGGGAAAAATATATAAAATACACAGGAGATAACTAACAGTAACTTTATATAATATTGCAAATTAATTAACTCTAAGTTAGTGTAACCCCTGTTGCTAAGAGAGAGACATGGTAATGGACTACAAAGTATACAGGGAACTCAAAACAGATAATTATCTTTTCCATTGCTCTCTCCCAGACGATGTTGTGGCTTGTTGCTCCATAACCCCCCCCCCCTCCCCTTCTCTTGCACCTGTCTAGTTCACGTTCAAATATTATCCTCTGTCATAGGAGCCTGACGGCTGAGTGAGCAGCGGTCGGGATACGTAGTCCTATGGTTCCGGGTTCGATTCCAAACAAATGGGCAGTTTCTTTCACCCTGATGCCTCCTGTTCACCTAGCAGTAAATAGGTGCCTCGGAGTTAGACAGCTGCTACGGGCTGTTTCCTGGGGGTGTGTAACAAAAAGGAGGTCGAGGACCGGGCCGCGGGAACGCGAGGCCCCGAAATCATCTCAAGATAGGATTCTTCAAGGTGAAGTTCTAACTCCACCGCCAGGGCTCTTGCCCTAGAAACTCCACCTTTCTCCTAGGTCTACATCCAATCAATTGGATGTAGACCTAGACCTGTAGACCTACGCCTATTTCCTCTGGCGCCTTCATCTAATGACAAGTTATGTCTGGTTCAAGTAAGTTTACTGAGGTAAGGAAATACATCTCAGAAGGCTAGAGTAGCGTAGGCTATTTCTGCCCTCGGCTATTTAGGGTCCCTCAAGGGGCTCACAAATCCATATAGTACACAAATATTAATAATATTTTTACTCGTCACATTCCAACAGTAACTACAATACACAATACAGTACACGATTGAACAAATCACATTGTCCATTGAACAAATATTTTAAGCTCCAGGGCGGAGTTTTCCCACAAAACCTGGCGGATACTATCCTTTATTATGAGAACTGAGTACTATGAGGGGAAAGCTTGTGAGGGGAAACTTGTGAGGGGACTTGTGAGGGGGACTTGTGAGGAGGGACTTGAGACATTATTGATGGTACTCAGATGGGTCTAACTAATCTACCTCGGACAGTCAAGGAGGCAGAACAATTAAGGTATATGGTTCATTATACATTAAAGGCCTACTAGTCAATTTGCATTCCTTTGCATACTCAAGATGCAAATTGTGCTTCTGTCATTACTCTTTACTTGTCTCCAATGAAAATGAACCTACGTTATTTGAAATCAATCAACTCTTAAGACCCGATGAATATGAGAATGTGATATCATAAATAAGTGAGCATGACCAAAAGAAACAGAGAAAGAGAGAGAGAGAGAGAGAGAGAGAGAGAGAGAGAGAGAGAGAGAGAGAGAGAGAGGAGAGGGAGAGAGGGAGAGAGAGAGAGAGAGAGAGAGAGAGAGAGAGGGAGAGAGGGAGAGAGGGAGAGAGAGAGAGAGAGAGAGAGAGAGAGAGAGAGAGAGAGAGAGAGAGAGAGAGAGAGAGAGAGAGAGAGAGAGAGAGAGAGACAACGAATGAATGACTTTAGCATGATATATAAGACTGAGGAAAAAACTGTGGCTATGAGGCAGGAATTCTCCTCCAAGTGTTTTATCTACAAGTAGGACTCGAATCCCCCTCTTCACTTTTAATTTATTCCGCCTTAAGAACCATTAGAAAGCACGTTGATGCTGGCACAGCTGGCAATGGGGCGGATTACATTCCTCACCGAACGATTTAATACAAGATCCGGATGACTTACGCGAACGCTGACCCAGAAAAGAATGGCTAGAAGAGCCGAAAGCTGTCGCAATTATATATAGCATAGAAACAATATTAAGGGACTTTTCCCCAGAGGCGTGAGCACTGGCAGGGGGATTTTTGAGCGCGAGCCTGAGCGCAGGGACATGTCTCTGTGCGGGGGGGGGGGGGGGAAACATTGAGCACTTGTGAGCAGCCTGAGAGCAAGGCTCAGGTAGTGATTTGAGCGGCAAGAGCCTTTTAAGCACAGGGACGGGAGAGCAGGTGTGTTGCCTGAGCACTGAGAGTTACCTGAGCACTGAGAGTTACCTGAGCACTGAGAGTTACCTGAGCACTGAGAGTAGCCAATTAACCAGAATACACACACAGGTCCTGCCTCTCCTGCACCCACCATCTTCCCCAGCCGCCCCGCCGAGCTCTGAGATTTATCGCGGCTGGGTTAGTTCTGCTCTCTGCCTCACGGGGCCTCAAAGCGCTATTGTTAGCAAATTTTCCTTAAGAGTTGACAACGAAAGTTGAGTTAAGAGAACGCCACTGTACTCCACACAGTCGGCACGCGATGTTTATATAAACATTTAACACCAGCGTTATTTGAACGTTGTTAAAACCCTAATCAAGTTAAAAAAACAACGTGATTATGCCTTGTGCATTTGTTGGTACAAAGATACATACGTCAAATAGATCCCCATCTTGTAATTTAATATTTTTCTTAAGACTTTGCTAACGAAAATCAATCTTGAAATGTTGAATAAGCGTATGAGCGAAGAGGTATTCTAGCCTTTGAATATTTTTCATGTAGTTTGAGAAGGGCTTCAGATATCAGTTCATGAATAAAACCAGGATGGCTATCGTAAACATATCGACGTCACAGCGTGAGTTCCCACAAGCATCGTCGTACGTCTGGCAGGGTTGGCCAAAAATCTTATCAAACATCTGGCAGCGAGGACCAAAATATTATCATATATGTGGCGTAGCACACATTACCATACAACCGTCTTGGCAGGACATACCTATACACCTTCCCTATATATATACATATATATACATATATATATATATATATATATATATATATATATATATATATATATATATATATATATATATATATATATAATATATATATATATATGTAAAATCATCCTAAAACTAGGCATTTGCCATTGTTGATACCGTTTGCTTATATTACGCAAGTCTTATTATTATACATCTGGCTGCATAGATTAAAACATTATCAAACAACTGGCAGATGATAGCAGAAACATATATACTATAAAAAACAATATCCGATAATTCTCACAAGATCCAAAACTCATCTCTGCATATGGCATCTCATATATCTAGCCATCATGATATAAAATATGAATTTCCATGTGTCATCGCAAATCAAAATATGATTTTGCATAAGGCAGTCGATTCACTAACCGCTTCACATGTATATGTTATCCGTCATACATCTGGCATCACTGTCCAAAAACATCATCTTTCATCTAGCATCGCTGTCTCTAACGACATCTGGCAACACTAGCACAACATTTCTTTTTCATGCATCTGGCAGTCATGGACTAAAATATGGTTGTTCATCTGGCAGCCATGGACTAAAATATGGTCGTTCATCTGGCAGGCATGGACCAAAATATAGTCGTTCATCTGGCAGCCAATCTACTAAAATATGGTCGTTCATCTGGCAGTCATGGACTAAAATATGGTCGTTCATCTGGCAGCCATGGCTCAAAATATGGTCGTTCATCTGGCAGCCATGGCTCAAAATATGGTCGTTCATCTGGCAGCCATGGCGCAAAATATGGTCGTTCATCTGGCAGCCATGGACCAAAATATGGTTGTTCATCTGGCAGCCATGGACCAAAATATGGTCGTTCATCTGGCAGCCATGGACCAAAATATGGTCGTTCATCTGGCAGCCATGGACCAAAATATGGTCGTTCATCTGGCAGCCATGGACCAAAATATGGTCGTTCATCTGGCAGCCATGGACCAAAATACGACCACTCATCAACCCAATCTACACACTAAATAATATTGTAAATAACGATTTTAATATAGTCCACTAATGGATGTCAACCAACACACTAACACTAAACATAGAAAAGACCTATTACATATTATCTGAAAGTAAATCATCAAACATAAGATAGACAATGTTACCATTAGCATTAAAAATTAATGAACATTATTTGGTCTATATATAAACACGAGACTAAACTTCAGCACCAATACAACACATTGCCAAAAAAGTGTCACAAATTGTTCATATTGAAATTGAAATAAGTTTATTGAGGTAAAATACACACAAAGGGATGAGGTAGCTCAAGCTATTCTCACCCCGTTAACTGTTCATATGCTCTCTAATATCAGATATTATGTTTCCCACTCCTGTTCTCCTTTCACTATACTACTCGCTAATCAATCCCTAACATAAGGTATCTGTGCATGGGGGTTCAACCATTGCAAATTACCTCGGTGCAGATTCACGAAGCAGTTACGCAAGCACTTACGAACCTGTACAGCTTTTCTCAATCTTTGGCGGCTTTGTTTACAATTATTAAACAGTTAATGAGCTCCGAAGCACCAGGAGGCTGTTTATAACAATAACAACAGTTGATTGGCAAGTTTTCATGCTTGTAAACTGTTTAATAAATGTAGCCAAAGCCGGCAAAGATTGAGGAAAGCTGTACACGTTCGTAAGTACTTGCGTAACTGCTTCGTGAATCTGGCCCATCAAGCCTATCATCACTCAGCCAAAATTTGCTATCAGAACTATAACAAACTCTGTCTTCAGACAACACACAACACCATAATGTAAATCCCTAAAAATGCTAAACATATACTCCACACATTTTCTTATAGCGACGGTCTCGCTTCATGCAGGTCGGCGTTCAATCCCCGACCGTCCAAGTGGTTGGGCACCATTCCTTCCCCCCGTCCCATCCCAAACTCTTATCCTGACCTCTTCCAAGTGCTATATAGTCGTAATGACTTGGCGCTCTCTCCTGTTGGTTCCCTTCCCTTCTGGTATTTACATGTACAAAAATGAGAAAATTGTCTAACCAAAGCTTTATTCACAAGTAAAACCCAAAAAAAAAGTGTCTAATTTCATCCTAATAGTTTACTTCCTTGTGTTTCAAACTCACGCTGCATCTTGTACTACCCAATCACCCAATTTGATTACTTTAAGATCTGCAGCTTCACCAGACTAATTAACACAGTCAATTTATACGGTGGTTATTGTGCTGAACTCAAGTTTTAGTACAATGTGCCTATTAATAATCTTACCTTTATCCGTTAGACTGAAGACCTGCACGAAACGCTATGCGTGTTAGTGGCTGGACAGGACTGTAAGAACACCGGTGTTATGTACTCTCACTACCCTATGTATTCTTGTATAGAAATAAATAAATAAATAAATAAATAAATAAATAAATAATTCTTTTATCCAAGGTAAAAATACAATCATGCATCTGACAGCCATGGACGAAAATAGAATCATGCATCTGGCAGCCATGGACGAAAATAGAATCATAACTCTGGCAGCCATGGACGAGAATAGAATCATAACTCTGGCAGCCATGGACGAAAATAGAATCATAACTCTGGCAGCCATGGACGAGAATAGAATCATAACTCTGGCAGCCATGGACGAAAATAGAATCATAACTCTGGCAGCCATGGACGAAAATACCATCATAACTCTGGCAGCCATGGACGAAAATACCATCATAACTCTGGCAGCCATGGACGAAAATACCATCATAACTCTGGCAGCCATGGACGAAAATACCATCATAACTCTGGCAGCCATGGACGAAAATACCATCATAACTCTGGCAGCCATGGATAAAAATACCATCATAACTCTGGCAGCCATGGACGAAAATACCATCATAACTCTGGCAGCCATGGATAAAAATACCATCATAACTCTGGCAGCCATGGACGAAAATACCATCATAACTCTGGCAGCCATGGACAAAAATACCATCATAACTCTGGCAGCCATGGATAAAAATACCATCATAACTCTGGCAGCCATTGACGAAAATACCATCATAACTCTGGCAGCCATGGACGAAAATACCATCATAACTCTGGCAGCCATGGACGAAAATACCATCATAACTCTGGCAGCCATGGACAAAAATACCATCATAACTCTGGCAGCCATGGACAAAAATACCATCATAACTCTGGCAGCCATGGATAAAAATACCATCATAACTCTGGCAGCCATTGACGAAAATACCATCATAACTCTGGCAGCCATGGACAAAAATACCATCATAACTCTGGCAGCCATTGACGAAAATAGAATCATAACTCTGGCAGCCATGGACGAAAATACCATCATAACTCTGGCAGCCATGGACGAAAATACCATCATAACTCTGGCAGCCATGGACGAAAATACCATCATAACTCTGGCAGCCATGGACGAAAATACCATCATAACTCTGGCAGCCATGGATAAAAATACCATCATAACTCTGGCAGCCATGGACGAAAATACCATCATAACTCTGGCAGCCATGGATAAAAATACCATCATAACTCTGGCAGCCATGGACGAAAATACAATCATAACTCTGGCAGCCATGGACGAAAATACCATCATAACTCTGGCAGCCATGGACAAAAATACCATCATAACTCTGGCAGCCATTGACGAAAATACCATCATAACTCTGGCAGCCATGGACAAAAATACCATCATAACTCTGGCAGCCTTGGACAAAAATACCATCATAACTCTGGCAGCCATGGATAAAAATACCATCATAACTCTGGCAGCCATGGACAAAAATATCATCATAACTCTGGCAGCCATGAACCCTTTCGTTACCATTCAACTTTCAACCTAGCCAAACAACTTTCGTTCTTCGTATTCATTATCTACGATTTTTAACCCGTTGTGTAAATCAGAGCTTCCTTTGTTGGTCATGGACACCTCTCCCTTCATTGTGTATTCTGCTTAAATTGCTCACTTTATCGCGAGAGAAAAATTTGTTTGGCAACTGAATTTTTAGGGCTTATTGCTAAAGGTCTCAATAAGGAATTAATCTCTGGATTAGATTAGATTAATACAGTTTGATACATTGATACAGTTTGCCCGAAACGCTATACGTATTAGTGGCTTTAGGTATTGAATGTGCTGGTTCTATCTATAAATCCAACATTATGTTTGTAACTTTTCATCTATGTATTTAATTGATAACACTAAACTAAGAGATGATAACTCAAATTAAATATTAATGGACCCTCTTCCGAGCAACTAATTTTTTTTATCTCGAAATCTCTAATAAAATGTATGTTAATTTTCAATAAATTAATTATCTTATGAACCTGATTACAATATCAATAGTCAATGCTTCTGTTACACGGGGATATATTAAAAAAAAATTACATATATCGAATGCCAATTTGTTCACTCGTATGAGGACAGTTTATGACTATTAATCTCTGGAATTTAATAAAAAAAATCGCTTTGGCCACCTGAATTAACTTTATTTCTAACTGGAATGAGATTAACTTTCCTCTCTATGACCACTGGGCATAAGAGCCATATTCTCAAGAATAGGATTTGTTTTGCATTGTGTCTTACCTTCTCAGTTAATAACTTGCAATGTGGGTATGTTCTTGTTGTTAATATTTAAATGTGGGTTCTGGTATTGAGCTCCAGCTCCTTGGTCCCGCCTTCTTAGCCAGTGATTGTCCGATTGCAAGTCAAGAGTTGCTGGATTTATATATATATATATATATATATATATATATATATATATATATATATATATATATATATATATATATATATATATATATATATAATGTCGTGCCTAATAGCCAGAACCGCACTTCTTGGCCTAGTATGCAGGGTCTAATGTGCTTAACAGGCAGAATGATTTTCGTTATTTTCAAATATTTCTTTTTAAATTGGTTCTTGTCTAACAATAATAATTATATTAGGAACAATTATTCTAACAATAATTGATATTAGGAACATGCAGGAAGTTGACAAATTAATTCCGAAGTTCATTTGTGCACATTTTATTGGGTCTGTCGCCTAGTGATGCGTTTCGCAAGGTCACTCCACACATCTTGAGATGATTTGATGATTTCGGGGCTTTAGTATCCCCGCGGCCCGGTCCTCGACCAGGCCTCCACCCCCAGGAAGCAGCCCGTGACAGCTGACTAACACCCAGGTACCTATTTTACTGCTAGGTAACAGGGGCATAGGGTGAAAGAAACTCTGCTCATTGTTTCTCGCCGGCGCCCGGGTTCGAACCCGGGACCACAGGATCACAAGTCCAGCGTGCTGTCCGCTCGGCCGACCGGCTCCACATTCTCAAAGACAAATTCTACAGTGCATAATGCTTTCTTATATCCTCTTATGATGAGGTGGTTAGGTAGCATATAGATGAATACGTAACATATAGATGAATGGCATTACATAGGGGATATTGATAAGGTATCAAATGTATCGAGATAGAGTGTGATATTCCGTTCCTGTTGCATGGTCATTCGGTCCTGCCTCTACATTGGCTCGGGGTCTTGAAGTGGGTAGTTATTGATTGCTGGAATAGATTTCTTGATATGCAGCGCCTCGCTGTTCTCTACTGGATGGGTATTGGGTGCATAATAAATGACTAATCTTATGTGAGGTATACAGTTTACTGTATACCTTTAATCAATGTTCCTGACGACCTTGGTCTCTGATCAGGACTTCTGGTTTACCGTCGGATCAACCAGGCTGTTCGTTGCTGCTGCATGCACTCTGGCATAGGAATCACAGCCCGGTTGTCGAGGTTCCTTTCTTGCACTCTTAATCCCCCCCTTGGTCAGAGTGAAGGTGAGCTAACACACTTCAAGGATGATGATTCACTCTAACATGTCTTCAAGATGATTCACTCTAACAAGTCTTCTAGAAGATTCACTCTTACAGAATGAATCTTCATGTTAGAGTGAATCAACTTCAAGATGATTCACTCTAACAAGTCGTCAAGATGATTCACTCTTACAGA